GTGGTGACCACACCGTGCGGTAAGTCGGTGGGGATTCGGGGTCACCGCACGGTTTTGGGACTCGAGTCTCTCTCCGAGGATGTCTCGGGCGACAGGGGCCTCCAGGGTCCCAAGACCGTGCGGTGACGGACCGCACGGTCTGTCACCGCACCGTTTCGAGACTCCAAATGCAAGCCCTCACTGGCCCGTGTTCGCGCTGGCCCGGGTCAGTAGGTCCCTGGAAGTCGAGCATCATTGATGTTTGCTTCTTGGGGGTTCTCCTCAGGACCCTCTTCCGGGGCTTCCTGGGCCCTCTTGGGGCCGTCGTGGGGCCATCTTGGGCACTGAGCCGTCCTACAGCCCTTCCCGCAGACCCTCCACGTCGTCTTGGTTTGACATCGTGGGCCCCCAGAGTTCTCGACCTCCCTCATCCCGAGCCGTTCCTTGACGGCCCTGGGGCGAGGGAGCGGCCCTTGGTGGCCGAACTTTGCCATACCAACAACCCGTCCGCCAAGGACCAACAAATGCATCAACATACACTTTTCCGATCTCCGCGCGGATTTCTTGGATCTGCGCTGGACCCCCTGGCGGCGCCTCCGGCGCCGCCCTTGGCGTGCTTCGCGCGCCAGGGAGGGGGGGAGGGGGCATAACCAATCCACGAGATCCGCGCGCAGTTCCGAAAATCCGTGTTTCTGATGTTATTTTCTAACCTTTTCAGGAGGCTTGGAAAAGGGCACCAATACCAACACAGGGGGGTGCCTCCACTGGGGGAAGATGATCCTAGATTCTGGTGTTGGTGGTCGTGCTTCGGCCACCTAGGGAGCTGGAATATTGACACCGTCGCTGGGATCAGGATCATCCTCCCTCGGTGGAGGCACACCGCCGATACTGGCGTTGGTGTTAACCTGGAGGCCTCTGACCTTTTCTTTTCGACTAGACGTGAGAGTGACCTTTCGCCCGAGTGACCTTTGGTGCGGGCACAGATGGGCCCTCCAATGGCTGAAAACGAGGCGGTAGCAGCGGCGCGCGCGCCCAGGTTGGGTCTCACCGCGGCCCTCGAAAGCCGCGCACCAAAGGTCGCTCTTGCCCAGGGTCAGAGCCCCGAATCATCAGGGGTAACTCGGGTCAGGGTTAACTCGGGTTCGTTTTTTGGGAATCCGAGCCCGAGTTACCCCGGACCCGAGTTACCCCGGAGAATTCGGGCGTCCAGAGCCCCACATCATCAGGGGTAACTCGGGTCAGGGCTGACTCGGGTTCCTTTTTCGGGAATCCAAACCCGAGTTACCCCGGACCCGAGTTACCCCGGATAACTCGGGCGCCCAACAGGGTCACTCTTGCCTGTAGCCGGTCTTTTCATTTTCGCACCTCGCACGGAGGAGGAGGAGGAGGAGGAGGAGGAGGAGGAGGAGGAGGAGGAGGAGGAGGAGGGAGGAGGAGGAGGAGGGAGGAGGAGGAGGAGGAGGAGGAGGGAGGGAGGAGGAGGAGGAGGAGGAGGAGGAGGAGAGGAGGAGGAGGAGGAGGAGGAGAAGAATAAGCAAAATAAGTAGAGGGCTGCGGCCGCCCCTCGGGCCCCCGTCCCTCCAGGGATGGGGTGGGCACCCAGGGGGCTGGAGCACGGGCCCGAGGTGGGTGCCCGCCTCCCTCGCATGTGGTGCAGGGCCCCGTGGCATGCTCGAGCCTCGAGCCTCGAGGAGGAGGAGGAGGAGGAGGAGGAGGAGGAGGGAGGAGAGGAGGAGAGAAGAGGGAGGAGGAGGAAGGAGGAGAGGAGAGGAGGAGGAGGAGGAGGAGAGGAGGAGGAGGAAGGAGGAGGAGGAGGAGGAGGAGGAGGAGGAGGAGGAGGAGGAGGAGGGAGGAGGAGGAGGAGGAGGAGGAGGAGGCGGAGGAGGGTCTGCCCACTCCCCCAGCCCCCCATCCCCGCCCAAATTAGGAGATATTTACCAGTGACTGGAGATTCAATTCAGCATCGCCGCTGGTAGATCCGTGGTCGAAGACCGAAGACCGTCCCACTCCAGCCTGATCTTGGTCAATACTGACCAATCTGGTACAATCGAGCTCAACCTTGCTGAATCCTGGGCTCAGTTTGGCCCATTCCGGCTCAGTGACTCCTTGAGCAGGCTTGGGTACCCATTCGGACGAAGACCCCCCAAAGGGTCCCCCGCCGTCTTTTCCTCCGCCCCGAACTTCCCTGCTGCGCGTGTTGACCGAATATCATAAGGAATACTGCCGTGGCGGCGAAGGGCTCTTGTGAAGAAGTCGACCGAAGCTCGAAAAGAGTCTGCGCCGTCGGCGCCTCCCGGAGGTCCAGGCGGGCATGACCAACACGCCAAAAAACCTCCGCTCCCGACCCTCGATGCTCCGCCTTCTCCTCCTCCTCCTCCTCCTCCTCCTCCTCCGCCTCCTCCTCCCCCTTCTCCTCCTCCTCCTCCTCCTCCTCCTCCTCCTCCTCCTCCTCCACCTTCTCCTCCGCCTCCTCCTCCCCCTCCTCCTCCTTCTAGACCGCGGCCACAGGCGCCATTCAGTTCTCAGACGTTACTGAGGCAAGGTCCGCCCCGCCGCGGGGGCTCCCATTCCCCATCAGAAGCTTGGCGAGGGGTCGCCCTAGGCTGCCCTCCAAAAAATTTCGGGAGGGTCCAGCATCCATACTGACACAGCAGAGGTCTAGAAGCGTTGCGCGCAGCCCTTTGCACGACCGCCGAGCGCCTTGTCCTTGTCCGTGTCCCCCTCCGCCTCCTCCGCCCCCCCTCGCCGAGGCGACTGGGCCGCCGCAGCGCGGGGCGTCGTTCCCGCCGGCGCCAGTGCGGGGCCACCTCCCGCCCCTCCCCTCCTGCGGTGCTCCAGGAAAGGCAGGGGGGATCTGCGGTCGAGACGCGTGTCCTCGTCCCCTGCGTCTTGGAGCTTCGGGCTCCCCCAGGGGTAACGAGCAAGGACGTGAAAGTAATTAACAACTCGGAGGTCCGCGCGGATTCCTCGGATCGGCGCTGGGGCCCCACGGCGGCGCCTCCGGCGCCGCATTTGGCGCAGCGCCGATGCGAGACATCCGCGCGGACCTCCAGGTTTCCATATTCACGCCAGTGTTTGCTCCCCTGGCCCTTCCCCAGAAGAAGCCCGCGGCGCAGCGGATGTGCATAGGAGGCTATCCCCTGGAGGCTGGAGGCCCGTTTTTTGATCCATCTCCGGTGCGCCTCGGCTTTGGGGCGCCCCTTTCCAGGAGAGCCCGAAGGGCTTGCCCGCAGTCGGTGCTCACGCAAGGGGGGTCGGCGCTCACGGGAGCCACTTGGCGCCGACCCCGCGGGTCCGAATCGGGGGGCTACTTCGCTGCCAGCCTCTTGGCATCGCTCGGACGTGTGCGTTTTTTCCTCGGCGAGGACCATCGAGGAGCATCCTTGATCATTTGGCGAAGAAGCCACGCACGAAACCGAAACAAAAACACAACACATGGACGTCCGAGCGATGGCGAGGCCTGGGTTCGTGACGCGGCCCTGGCTGGCCCAAATTTGCGCTGGCCCGTGCAGTGCGTCCCCGGGATCAGAGTCCCGAGTTACGAGTACAGGGGGTGGCCTGATCCGGGCTTCCGTTTTCGCGCTGGAGGTCTCCAGATTTCATTCAACCCAAGTTTGTTGTTCCAGAACACCTTATTTCCCCTTTGCGTACTCTCCGCAGCTCTCATTGTAAAGCAGAAGTCCTCCTGGGTTGAGCAGTTCCAGGGCTTTGCCAGATCGCATCCTGGGACGGCAAGCAGGGCCGTGCGCTGACCAGGTCTATCCCAGACACGTCGGATGTCCGCGAGGAGGAGAAGGGGGAACGGCAGCGCAATCCGAGTCTCGCGGATCGAGGGGTGCAGGTTCGCGGACGTCCTCGGCCGCTTCCGGGGCGCCCCGCCGCCAACGGCGGGGCTCGCCTTCGAGATCCTGACCGCAGCGCATCCCAGGAGAAGCCCAGGAGAGTCGATGGAGTTTCTCGCCTCCAATGAAGCCTTTGCTCAGGGAGCTAGTGCGCGCCATTCGTTGGAAGTATGTGTTTTTGAACACCCAGAGCCCAGTCTATTTCAGTGCCGTCCTACTTTGAGAATCGATGCGTTTGTGTTGTTGGTTGTTAATCTTTGGGTGGGCCTGAACCCCATCATTTTGATTCGCCCTCTTACTACATGATTTCACGTACTTCTGACTGGCGGGCAATGGCATACATAGAATTCTCGGAAGAGGCAGGGGGATTGGAGAGTGCGAGGAGAAGAAGGAGGAAGGCGAGGAAGAGGGGACATGATGAGTTGAAGGAGGAGAAGGAGAAGGAGGAGGAACGAGAGAGCGAGAGAGATGAAGATCAGCAGTAAAAGGGAGAATCTGAAGATAATGAAGAGGTAGATGAAGGTGGAGGAGGATGGGAGGAGGATGGGAAAGTGGAGGGGGGAGGAGGATGAGGAGGAGGAGGAAGAGGAGGAGTAGGAGGAGGAGGACAAGGAGCAGGAGGAGGAGGAGGAGGAAGAGGCGGACGAGGACTAGGATGAACTCGAATATGAGGGGACTTGGGATGATGGGGGAGGGAGGGAGGGAGTGTCGCAGGGAGTCGTGGTGAGGTTGAGGAGGAGTAGGATGCGGAAGAAGATGAAAGAGGAGGGAGGAGGAGGAGGAGGAGGAGGAGGAGGACGAGGATGAGAAGGGTGTAGACGAGGAAAGCAAAAACGGAGAGGGGGAAGGGTTAGGAGGAGAGGGGGCGAAGAGGGAGGAGTCCATTTTGCGCTACCACCAAGACGATGGTACCGACTGGGTCCGCTCCAGCCCTGGTAATGACGGAATGACGGCTACGACCATGACTGCGACTACGGCAGCAGCCACGACATCCCCCCGCGACATCGACTGGGGCCACAGCAGCAGCCGCGGCCAGGCCCCAGTCCGACAACTGCGACCACGCACCCGACTGCGCGACTACGCGACGACCCGCCCCCGTACCCCCCCCCCGTCCCTTCCTCGCCCGCCTCCTCGTTCACGCCTCCCTCGTCGTTATCTCACTCTGGTACGGCGGCAGCGATGGCTTCTTCCAGCTTCATCTTCGCGGGCCTCGTGGTCGTCGGGGAGGCCGACGCGTGGCGAAGGTCGCGGAGCTCGAGGCGGAGGGCTCGACGTGGGGTGGAGCCTGCGGGAGGGCAACACACTCCTATTCCTCTTCGCAGGTTGCGCGCAAGGGCCTGCAGAGGGCTGCGCGGCAGGCTTGCGGGCGTGATGTGCTGGCCCTGGGCCAGACCGGCGGTCGCACTCTCCGCCAACTTCGTCGAGCAGTCGCCCCCCTGAGGCGAACCCTCGCAACGCGCCGTGCCCCGGCGGCAGCACGCCCCGAAGCGGGACGGGCGCAGGAGCTGCGGCAGGGCTGGCAGGGGGAGGCGGGGGGCGGTCAGGACCAAACACGGACGTTCACCACAAGGGGTGACACTTGTGGAGGGGGAGCCGGACCTTCGCCCCGGCCCTCTCTGTTCCGTTCCGCCCGCCCTCGGCGCGGCCCTCCGCCCGCGCAGCGGGTCTTCCGTCTGCGCTCCGGGGTGTGGAGCGTGGCCTGCAGGCCCGCGGGCGACGAGCGCACGGCCCACCCGCTTCCTTTCCCAGGGCGTCGCCCCGCCTGGGCCTTGGTATCGCTCGGACGTGGGCACTTTTTCTCGGCGGGGGCTATTAAGGAGCATCCTGGATCATCCTGGCACGAAACCGAAAAAAAAACAGGGAATGTACGTCCGAGCGATGGCCAGGGGCCCGATCAGGCAGCTCCCTGTGGGCCCTCCAGACAGGGGCGCGAAAACGTTGACACGGCTAGACAAGCACAATACACCGGCCAACACAATATGTTTCCAGAGTAGGCAGAGCTTGCAAGACGAAGCAGCGGGCACGAAGATTACATCGCCCTCGCCCAAGAACAGTTTGGAAGGTCCAGAACCTGGAAACTCGTTTGCCCGACCCTGCCTCCCCCAACCAAGCGAAAGCATAGACTGTGTAACCCCTGGAGGCGACGAGCGAGGCGCCAGTGAACAAGACGATGATCTTCGGATCAAGCCATCTTGGGACGGATTCAAACGAGGGGGACACCAAACATTTGTGAGAATAGTTTCCGTGTTTTTCTGTTCCTCGGCTGGGGGGGGGGGGAGGGGGGGGAGGAAGAGGATGCGGCAGGAGGCGGGGGAGCTCGAGGGAGGAGGAGGCGGGGGAGGATGCCGAGGAGTAAGAGGAGGAGGAGGAGGAGGAGCAGGAGGAGGAGGAGGAGGAGGAGGGAGTAGCCGAGGAGAGGCAGGAGGAGGAGGAGGAGGAGGAGGACCAGCGTAAACCCCAGGCGCATCAACGATGTTGCAACACACGCACCCCAAATTACATTTAAGAATGTGCTTCCCCTTCGTGGCATTCCCCGTTGCAATTTTTTCGAGCCAGTCACCATTCTTTGGACGTCCACGTATCAGCGTGACTGATGCGTCCAGACAACCACACATCGTGCCAGCGCGCAAGCCCTGGAACTTCCACACCGCTAACCTTAATGGGTGTTGCGCCCTGGCAATCCTAAATTGTGCCGGAACGCTTTTTCGTGTGACAAACCCTTCCCACTCTTGAAATGGTTGTAACATGTTGAGACGAATTTTGAAACTGAACCTCTCTCCGCCATAGGATATGTTATTGATTTTCAAGCCGAGTTCGCGGGGCGCTAGGGCGGGAGACAAAGTGTGACAACGGTCCGTGCTAGGAAGTTTGTAGTTTCACATAGATATATGATTATATAAAATATAATCTAGACTGTCCTGGAGGATCCAGGAAATCCTGCAGCCCTTTGTTGCTCGAGGAAAAGAGCGACCCTCACCTCCCCCCTTTCTCCGCGAGGGGGGTGGGTGCGCGTGCATGGTAGCGGAGCTCGCTTGAGGATCGCGGGCCGCTCCGCACCCCGGCGAGCTCAAGGAGCCCCTCAGCAGCTGGCGGGCCGATCCACGCGAGCGCCGAGAGGACCCCTTGCTAGTCAGAGCTGCGGTCAGACCCGCGCTCTGACAGTGGAGGCCAAGCAGCCACGGAGAAGGCCAAGAAGCCGAACAAGCGAGGAGGCAGGTCGGCGGACACGCGTCAGCACCGCGAGCTCCGAGGGACCGCCTTTAGGAAGCTCAAGGCGTGCGGCAGCAGAGCGCAGCTCACGCAGGAGGAGCGAGCAGCGGTGACGAGGCAGCTGAGAAGCGACATCGAGAGGATAGGGAAGCGTGTCAGCGACGTGCTAGACTATCAAGATGGAGCAGCAGCTGCAGCAACTGGTCGATCAAGTTCAGAGGCTGACGACGGAGAGTCAGAACATGAGACAGGAACTTCAGAACAGAGACGTGACGATCGCAGAGATGCGAGGTCAGCTTCAAGCTCAGCAACAGGCTCAGCAGCAGCGGGTAGCCCCGCGCGGCGAGATGATGGATCCGAAGATTCTTCACAAGGTGAAGCCGTTCGACGGCCACAGGGCGAGTTGGAAGACGTTCAGTTTCCAGTACAGAGCGTACCTGATCGCCCAGGATCGAAGGTACCGAGATCTTCTGGAAAGGTGCGAGGACGGAGCCCAGGAGGTGGACAACGTCAACCTGGACGCGCAGGAGGAAGAGCTAAGCACGCAGTTGTACTACGGCCTGGTCCTGGCGATGCCCGAGGACTCAGTAGGCGAGCTGATCGTGAGGAACAGCCCAGTAGGAGAAGGAGCCGAGTGTTGGAGGAAACTTCAGAAGGAGTACAACCCGAGCGAGGCAGGAAACGTGCTGGCGATGTGGACCAAGCTCACGGACACGAAGTTCGACGCCAAAGAAGACGTGATGGTGAGCATCAGCAAGCTGGACGAGGACATGACAAGGTACCAGAAGATGGCAGGAGAACCAGTCTCGGACCTGATCAAGCGAGGCATCCTTACAAAGGCGCTGAAGGATCACGACGAGCTGCAGAAGCACGTGTTTCGGAACAGCAGTCGGCTAAGTACGTACGAGCTCCTGAGAGCCGAGGTGGTGTCGGCGTTGATGGCAGAGCGAGCGGTTCAGGACGACCCGATGGAGATAGGCGCGCTGAAGGGCGGAAAGAGACCGTGGAAAGGCCGCGGCAAAGGGAAAGACGGCAAGGGCAAGGAGAGGCCACCGAATCCCGACGCCGAGATCGAGTGCCACTACTGTCACAAGAAGGGCCACCGCAGCGCAAACTGCCGAAAGCGGATCGCCGACGAGAAGAATACATCCGAGAAGGACAAGAAGGACAAGAAGCAGCTCCGAAAAGAGAAGGGAAAAGAAAAGAAGAAGATCGGGGCAGCGGCAGTCAGGGAGCTCGAAAGGTTACGACAGGCAGGAGTGGGCACAGGAACAAGTTCGACAGCACCTACACAACAGATGTTGGGAAGTCAAGGAAGCGCCGACAGCGCGATGACTCAGCAGGTGCTGCGCCCAGTCAACTGCGCGCTGCAAGCGAAGATGATTCTGGCCCTGAGGGCAGAGGTCTCAAGAAGCGCAGCCACACGATCGACTGGAAGTACTGCTTGCCTAGCTACCACCAATATGTCTGCTGCTCTTGCAAGAAGACCTTTGAAGGATGGCGATGGCACTTCGATCAGTGGAAGCTGGACTACTGTGCCGCGTGTGCCGAGTACTGCCTGGACAACTGGTTCAAGGACGAGGAAGAGCCAGACGACAACGAGAAGCCAAGACCAAAGAAGCACAAGAAAGACTATCAGTAAGTGCTGCGATGTGCCAGCTGCGGTGAGCCCCGCGCTGGCCGGCCCCAGGCATGTCACCGTCGCTGGTCTTCGGCCCGTGGATGAAGATCAGAGCCCTGCAGATGACCGATTGCGGTTAGCCCCGCTTCGGAATGCGATCATGCTCGACTCAGGTGCGCAGATCAGTGCGATACCGAGATCACAGGTGACCAAGCATAACTACACGCCGACGGACAGCAACGTTGTCGGCTTGAAGGGCATAGGAGGCGAGGAGATCGAGAGGTACGGCCACGTGGAGCTGAACCTATCCCGAGGAGGAGAGGTTATTCAAGTCGGTGCAGAGGTTGCCGATGTGGAGTACCCAGTTGTGGCTACAGATGCTGTAGTACAACGTGGTCAGAGTGTTCTTCATAGCCCTGCAGGTCACTGGATCATCAACGGTACCGTCGAGCCACCTGACGGAGCTGAGTTCGTACCTCTACGGCGTCACCAAGGCAACTACTACTTAGAGTACGATCACATCATCGACGGCCAGACTCAACCAGAAGCTTCAAAGGTAGCTGCGGTCCGAAAGACGCTACCGAGGAAGGTACCAGCTGAACAGGAAGCTGGATCTTTGCCGAAGGTTCTAGGTCCTGAAGCTGATGAGACCACAACTGTGCCAACGAGAGTGTTGAAGACTCCTCACCAACCTAGTGCTGCGGAGAGAGCCGCGCACGAAGGGCATCATCTACCTTTTCGGCCTTGGTGTCCCATCTGCGTGCAGGCTCGAGCAGACGATGACCCACACCACGCTCAGGAACCAGCTGATGAGAACAAGATCCCGAAGGTCATGTTCGACATCTTTTACGTAGGGACGGACCAGCTGGCTGCGAAGTACAAGCTTAAAGGAGGTTACTTCAGCATCAGGGAGAAGATGTCGGTCACGAAGGCCGAGCTAGACCAAGCGGTCTCTGTCTTGAATGTTATCGACTGTAAGATCTTGGCTCAGGCGACGTTGTACGCGAACAAGGAGACGGATGACTACAAGGTGTCCTTCCTGCTAGGCGTGCTGGAAGCTTGGGGCCACACAACAGTCATACTTCAGACAGACCAGGAGCCTGCCACCATGGCTCTGGCGCAGGCAGTTCGAGATCGCAGATCACACTCAACCTTGGTGCGGGGATCACCGCCCTTTTCCAAGCAAAGTGCAGGCTACGCTGAAGGAGCTAACAAGCTAGCAGCTGGTCTACTTCGAGCCTACAAGCTGAAGCTGGAGCACAAGCTGGGCTGTGAGATCAAGATGACGGATCCGATCGTGCCATGGCTTGTGAACTCAGTGGGGTGGATGATTACCAGATTCCAGCCTCGCAGTCACGGAGGTTCCTCCTACAAGATGCTCTACGGCAAAGAGTACAACGGCGAGATTGCGGAGATGGGTGAGCAGGTCTGGTATCGGATCTCAGCCAGAGTTGCCGCGGGACGTGGCAAATGGGAAGCCCGCTTCGCAAAAGGAATCTGGGTTGGTAAGAGTGAGCTGGACGATACACATCTCGTGATCGATCCTGAACGTGGAGTGCAGAAGGTCAGAACGGTGCGAAGGATGCCTGAGGAGTTCAGATGGCAGCCCGAGCTCATCCAGCACATCAGGGTGACGCCCTGGAAGCAGACGCCCGACAAGAGTTCAGGAACGATCGGACGCAGCATGTACATCACGGAGCGCATGATCGATGCTCATGGTCCTACTGACGAGTGCAGGAAGTGCAGTACAGGATACGGTTCGCATTCGGCAGCCTGCCGACAGCGTTTCGAGACCATTCAGGCCGACTTGCTGCGCGAGAAGTTGGCAAAGGACCCTGTGGCCCCTGAGGCTACAGTCGTGGTGCCAGCACCGGCTGCGGGTAGCCCCGCGCCTGGAGCCGCACCAGGAGGAGCAGCGGCATCAAGCAGCAGTGAGGTTGCGGTGAGCCCCGCACCTGCTGCCAGCGACGTAGCTATGGTCCCTGGCCCAGGAGAGGCTGAGGTGCAGACAGCCATGGACACGGAGAGTGGCGAGCTCAGGAGCGACTTTCGGCGAAGTGCCCCAGGTGAAGTTCGTGAAGGAGCTGAGGTCAAGAAGCCCAGGGTAGCAAGCATTGGGCATCTCTCTGTCTGTGAGTTGGCAGTCTGCGAGGAGGGCTACGACGAGAGCTTCGACCCCATGTGGGATCCACACCCAAAGCGCAGTGCGAGATGTTCCGAGAGGTGTGAGAAGCACTCGTCACGATGCCAGCTACGAGAATGCCACCAAGCTGAGTGTGCATGCAGGAGATGTTTGATGAGCCACATCGGCACAATCAGGAGCCACTTCGGAGATCCTGAGGATCAGCAGGTGGAGCAGATGGTTGAGGTGAGCGCCGAGCTGCATGAGAAAGACCAGTGGAGCCCAAAGACGATACACTACGATTACTATACTGGAGAGCCTCTGGATGAGGACCTGTATCAGAAGGGTCGCGACGACGAGCTGCAGGCCATGAAAGACTACGGGGTCTACGTGGAAGTGGCGACATCGACGGCGACTGACGGCAAGCACATTGGAGGTTTCCCGATAGCCCACATGAAAGAAGGAAAGGTCAGGTGGAGGTTCGTAGCAACCGAGGTGAACAAGTACGAGGTCAGGGAGGACAACCACCAAGGCACGCCCCCGCTCATGATTGTCAGAGCGACGCTGAGCCGTGCCGCTTCAAGTCCAACTTCCAGCGGGCAGCACCTGCGGAAGATACAAGTCTGGGACGTCAGGAAGGCTTTCTTCAACGCTGACTTAGACGAGACGATCTACGTGCATCCTGGGAGAGAGCTGTGTCCGCCTGGAAGGTGCTGGTGGTTACGCAAGGCCATGAACGGTACCAGGAAGGCGTCGCAGATGTGGGGTGAGCTTGTGAGAACTACTATGGACGACGGCCATTGGGAATGCTTGGTTGGAACTCCTAACGTGTTCTACTTACCTGCTAGCCCCAACACAGCCCCCTTCGACGAGGATAGCACAGCGATCTGCCATGGCGATGACTTTCTTGCTGAAGGCTACGACGAGCAGCTGGACGAGCTGGACGAGTTGTTGAAGCAGCAGTTTGAGGTCACGGCCAGCGCCAGACTTGGACCAGGAGCGGTGGGGCAGACTACATACCTCAAGAGGACGATCGGCTACACCGACAAGTTGCCAGGTTGCGAGGAGCCAGGTTTCTTCTGGACTGCCGATCCCAAGCATGTGGACTTCATGATCAAGTGGACGCAGAAGCGAGGTTGTAAACCAGCTCCTACTCCAGGAACGAAAGCTACAGGACAAGGCCGACGAGACAGCCTAGACCTTCTTTCCAAGGATCGTGCTCGAGAAGTGGCGGGTGCAGCAGGCACCGCTCTTTACCTTTCTTCGGACAGGCCCGACACGATGTACGCCAGCAAGACAGCGATGCAGCACGTCTCCAACCCGAACGTCTTGATGCATGCGCGTGTTCAGCGACTTGGAAGGTACTACGAAGGACAGCCTGTTTTGGTCTGGTGTTACCCACTTCAAGGTACTCCTGAAGGCATTCGTGTAGATGGTGATGCGGATTGGGCACCTACGAGTGAACTACAGCGGCGATCTACCAGTGGAGGAGCTGTGAGGTATGGCGACCACACTTGGGACTGCTACTCAGTGACGCAGAGTACGATAGCCCTAAGTTCAGGGGAATCCGAGATGTATGCTACGGGAAGTGCGACAGCCAGAGGACTTCAGTGTAAGACTTACCTGATCGAGACCCAGAGGCCCTGCAACCTGAAGATCTATAGTGACAGCACAGCTGGACGTGGCATGTGCAGCCGAGTTGGGGTGGGCAAGGTCAGGCATCTGGAGCTGAGGTACTTGTGGATTCAGGAGCGGTTGCGTCTCAAGGCGTTCGAGCTTCACAAGGAGGACACCAGCAAGATGACAGCCGACATGCTCACGAAGTACAGCGAGTGGCCGACAATCGAGAAGCATTGCACCACTCTCAACCTCAGGTTCGGAAAGCAGATGACGGGCTTGAGCGCAATGGCAGTTTTCACGGAGGTCGTGACGAAGGCGTCAGGCGAGAAGGTGACAGTGTACGGAGGATCTGACGAGGTTGCGGTTTGCCCCGCGCCTGTCAGCCACTATGTGGAGAGCGAGGAGTTCAGGTTCTACTTGATGTTGGGACTTGTTATGGTGACTGCAGCGAGTACTTTCTTATTGGGGTGCTGGTGTGGTTGCTACTTCAAGAACTTCTACGACAAGTTCTTCCTCCAGGGTGCGGTTAGCCCCGCCTCTGGAAGCACTTGCCCACCATCTGCGCGGGCTGACGTCGAGTTCAAGACCGTGTGTGCACAGCAGGACAAAGGTGCAAGGCACAAGCTCTTAAACACGTTTCTTGTGGCTGAGCTGCGAGCTGTCTTGAAGGCCAAGAGCCTGGCCGTGTCAGGGATCAAAGAAGACCTGGTCACGAGGATGATCAAGCACGGAGGTGTTCTGTCGGATCGCCAGGCCAAGGAGATCGAGCAGCTGCGGGTGATGGCTACAGCGCATGGACCTCTTGCCAAGCTTAGCTTGCAGGACATCAGCAGTCCAGAGGCTGCGCAGAAGTGGATCGAGACGTTCAAGGGCGAGTGCCGAGACCGTTCCAGAGGCTCTCAGGTGATCCACGGAGAGGGCTAGGAGAATGGTCGCAGGAAGCACTACGACGGCCGAGGGTGAGCTTTGTTTTACAGGCTGCGGTTTGCCCCGCGCCTGCCCTCAGCGGGTAGCCCCGCGATGGGTTTAGGGGGCCAGCGCCGTTGCGACGCCTGCCCAGGGAGCACAAAGAGGCTTCCCTGTGGCTCACTTTTCTTGGCTGGAGGCCGAGCCGCTTCCAGCGCCCAAGGAGAGGTGCTAGGAAGTTTGTAGTTTCACATAGATATATGATTATATAAAATATAATCTAGACTGTCCTGGAGGATCCAGGAAATCCTGCAGCCCTTTGTTGCTCGAGGAAAAGAGCGACCCTCACCTCCCCCCTTTCTCCGCGAGGGGGGTGGGTGCGCGTGCAGTCCGCCCTCCCAATTTTGAAGCTGTTGCGGACTGTCAAGACGAATGTGCGCGGCGCTAGGGCTGAAAACACATTTCGAAAACGGCCTTTCCTCCATTCTTGAATTCGCTCCATACTTCAAACTCCAGAATCAGACACAGTGAGGACGTCTCACGCCGCACGCCCAGTCCGCCCTACTGACACGCCCGGGGGTGCTACAGGGAGGAGTTATCCAGAAGGCAAAGGGATGGAGGAGACGGAGGAGGAGGACATGGGGGGGAGAACATGGAGGAAGAGGAGGAGGAGGAGAAGGAGGAGGATGAGGAGGAGGAGGAGGAGGAGGAGGGTGAGGAGGAGGAGGGTGAGGAGGAGGAGGAGGAGGAGGAGGAGGAGGAGGAGGAGGAGGGGAGGGGAGGAGGAGGAGGAAGAGGAGGATAAGGAATCAGAGCAGGAACAGCACACTGACCAACGACATTTGCGACAACGGCAAAGGTGGAGGAGGGGTGGGATATTGATCGAGGAGTGGGATGGGGGAAGAGGCGGAGCGAGGATGAGGGAGGAGAAGGAGGAAACGCTATGTTGAGGGGACAGATCATTGAACGGGAAGGAAGGAGGATGACGATGAGGAAAAGGAGGAGCCAAACAGGGATGGAGTAGGAGCGCGACGAGGGGATGAGGTGGATGATGAGGAGGATGGGGGCAACGATGACGGAGAGGAGGAGAACGGAATTTAGGAGGTTGAGGAATTGGAAGGGGGAGGGGGAGGAGAATGGGCGAATTTGAGGAATAAGAAAGGAATGGGCCCGAGAGGAGGATGGGGAGGTAGTGTAGTCGTGTTGGGACAGTGGCGGCGACGGCATGTACTGGGTCCAGTCGCTCTCAACCTCTCACCTGGCACCACGAGCTGCACTCGCTCGTTCTGTTTGACGTGGCACATGGTGTTGCCAGAACCGTCAGATTCGCCCACGTGGTACGTGCTGCTGCCGTGCCCCCTCGTCAGGTGAAATCGCCGCTTGCCCCCGGAGGTCCGGCGATGATGTTCTTCCACGGTACGGGTTGCCCTTTCTCCCGTCCCGCCACCGTGCCTTCCGGGCCGCTCTTGGCCCCGACCGGGCGAAGTCGAGCGGAAAGAGCCGCGCGGGGAACATCGGGACATTTCAGAATTTGGGGTCCTGGCCCCCGTTCCGTAGTGCTTTCGCAATCCCGAAGACTGAGGACAGAGGACTGCAGGAGACCTGACGGCCGTCCCTGTGTTTAGCCATTCCCGGCGCTGCCAGGTCCTCCGCGGTGTGGAGCAGCTTCGACGATGCAGCGGCCAAGGGCATGGTCTTCTCAGCCTTCCTCTTTACCTCTTCACTCCTCATCGAGAGGGTCTGATACCAAGCATTACCAGGGGAGGGGGCGGGGGGCCAGTCATGTCGGTTGCAACTCCTGGGAGGTCAAATTCTGATTTAGCCCTGGTCCGAAATCCCGCTCAATCCCGCTTAATCCTGGTTCATCCCGTTTAATCCCGCTTGATCCGAGGCCCACTCCGGCGTAACAGCTCCCAAATGGGGCTTAATCCTCCGTAATCCTTCCGATGAAAACCTCCCAGTAGTTGCCTCCTAAAGTAACGTCTCGTTTCGCGCCGTCACCGTCTGGAATACCAACTCGTCGGTCAGCACAAGTCGCGACGTTACCTGGGGGGGGCGCTGTGGCCGCGGGTGCGGCCGTTATCATCGCGAACAAAAATCCAAAACTATCCCCTGCCATCATTGCGTAACTGTAAACTGTTTGAGCTCCGCGCGGGTTTCTTGGATCAGCGCTGGGCTCCCTTGGCGACGACTCACGCCAGGGATGGGCGCAAGCGCGGATCCAAGGAATCGACGCGTTCGCGGTGTCTTGCTCCAATCACCCCTCACAGCCGTTGGAGCAGCAGGAAAAGCAGGGGGCCTTCAGGGGTCTTCAGAGTTTCTGGGAGATTTCCAGATTTCTCTCCAGAACTACCAGGGGTCTCCAGTTGGGAAATCACGACCGGAGCCTTTGACTAACTGTTTCTGCAAAAGTTGTCGAGCCAGATCCATCCACGACTGCCCGGGGTCCCGAGATTAGGCGAAAGTGTTGGGTTACAAATTGGTCCCGAAATATAGCGAAATTGAGTCGAGCCCAAGCACGGTTAGATTTTATCTTGCCGACCCCTCGCTGCGTCTTGGCATGATGCGGAGTCGAATAACGCGCGCCAGCGAGTTTCGACATGCCTTCCGCCGTTCCTGGGTTTCGCGGGCCCCATTTCCCCCCCTTCACGGCAGCAATTTGGCCGAAGGCCAGAAAGAATCAGCCTCGTGGCCGGGGGGATTCATGACGACGCCGTCGTCCACTGAGAATCGGTGCCGAGGGGGGGCCCAGTGTGGATTTGGTGCCCGCGCCGACGGAGAGTCGCCGCCGCCTCGAGGTGATTCAGCGTGGAAGCTGTGCTAGTGGGGGGGGGGATCGGGATGAGAGCACCGTCGACCGCACCTCGACCTCGCGGGGTGACCCAGTGTGGAGGCGTGCGCAGGCTGATGCAGGGCTGCCCAAGAGTCATTCGGCCTCCTGCTGCGTGATGCCGTTGCGTGTGCGCGGAGTCGAGCGATCCGACCTCTCTCCGCGCCAGGGGGCACCTCTGGCGGTTCACAGCGTGGAGCCCCCTGAGGGAGGGGGGCTCTGAGGACAGTCGGCCGCGCGCAGAGGGGGGTTTAGGGGGAGGGGGGCGGCCTCCGAGAAGCCCCCCGTGCTCCCCAGGAGAGGCGCGGGCCTCGGCTCTGGATGTGTGGCTGGCGCCTCTGCCCCTGCCCCCTTTGTGCGCGCCGCCGAGGTAGGGAAGGAACCGCAGGCCGAAACTTCACTGTTCCAGGGCACGCGTCCTCGGGGTCCCGATGGAGGAGGAGGAGGAGGAGGAGGAGGAGGAGGAGGAGGAGCAGGAGGAGGAGGAGGAGAAGGACGACACGCTCCGCCGACGTCCGCGGCCGCCTCGTCGGAGACCTGCCCCCGCAGACCTCGCAGAGCACCGAGGACTTCTCCTCCTCGCGCGGGGACGCTGCGGGGCGGACTGTGCCCGAGCGGGCGGGGGAGGCGCACGGGGGCGGCCGCGGAGGGCGAAGCCAGGGTGCGAGCTCTGGTGGGAGGCGGAGTTCGGCAGCGGCGCGGGCATCTCCCTGGTCGAGGCCCTTGGCATCGCTCGGACGTGTGCGCTTTTCCGCCGGCGAGGACCATCGAGGAGCATCCTTGACCATTTGGCGAAAAAACACCACGCACGAAACCAAACAAAAGCACACAAAAAGTGGACGTCCGAGCGACGGCGAGTGGTCGAAGCCTGGCCCGGCCTGGCCTGCTCCCGCCTGCTGCCAGAGAGGCGGGCGGAGAGGTCGGCCCACCGGCTCTCCGGGGGCCCTCCTCGGACGGGCCGGGCCGGCGCGAGGGCGCGTGTCCGTCGGGGCTCCGGGGCGGCGAGCGAGGGCGGAGCTGATCTATAGGCCTCCCAGATCTCGGGGGCGGGCGGAGAAGAGGGGGGTGATGACTAGGGTCAGGAGGGGACAGAAAACACACAGACACAATTCATCGCCCACTCCCAGGAAAATGTAGGAAGATATGGGAAGGGGGGGGAAGACAAACATTCAAAACATATGGGAACATATGGGGAATCATTTCATTTGTGTGTATTATTTTGTCTGTCCTGGGGCCTCTTCATAGGGGTGTGTGGATATCATGGGGGGGGCCATGATATTTCCCCAGGTCTCATGGCGCCTCTTCTTGTTTCATCACGTCCCTGGCCCCCCCGCTGGGCCGCGCACATGCCGCCGGTCATGATTTGCACCCCTTGTCTTGAACGCCCCTTCTTGGCCGCTCCCGAAGATGGGGTCGGCACACATGGGGTCGGAGGGTCGCGCCGCATCGTCGATGCATCGGCGATGTGGCTCGATGTGGAGCCCGATTATCTCCACCCCTTCGTCGCCGGTGCATCGACGATGTCGCCGATGCGTCGCCGATGCATCGCCGATGCATTGCTGATGTATCGGCGATGCAGCGCGATCCTCCGATCCCATCTACTTCGACCCCACCGAGGAGGCCTCTAAATGAGCAGGAGAAGCCCTTCTCAGAAGGGACTAAGTTGTGGATGTGCAAGCTAATGATGTGCTGGGAGCACTGATGTGCAAGCCATGTTGCGTTGTGCAAACACTTTCTTGGGAGCATTGCGGTGTGAGCCATGCGGTGCACGCTATCAAGTGCAATACACGTGATGTGAACTATGTTGTTACAACAGGGCGCTGCAAGTTCAATCATGGTGCTGCAAGTCATCACGTTCTGTGGCGTACGCTGTGGTAAAGGCTACGAAGAGAGACTTGCGCATGTTGCGCAGTCTCAAGCTGTGTGGTGCAAGGTACGTGTTGCATCTCAGTTGAGGCCGAGTGGTGCAAGCTGCGTGGTGTAAAATGTTGGTCAGGAGGGGAACAAAAAAAACACAGACAATTAATCGTCGATTCCCTAAGAAAATATGGGAAAATATGGGAAGTGGGCGGGAAGACAAAAACCCAGAAAATATGGGAAAATATGGGGGATCCTTTCATTTGTGTGTATTTATTTATGTGTCCCAGGGCCCCTTCAGTTGGGTGGAGTGGTGGCCTTCTTGGCCAACCAGGCGGACACCGCGTCGCCCACCGGACGTGCGCCGGGACCTCCCTGCCAATGCCAGGCGCCCACGACGCGGCCGCGGGCGCCCATGGAGCGAAGACCGGTCCACGCCAGCACGCGGCCCTCACGAGGCGGCCCATCAGGCGAACCGAACACCAAACCACCCCAACCCAACCCGAAGGCCTAAATTTATCCTCGATTTCCAGTGGGGGGGGAGGTCGGGGAACGTTGAAAAAACACATGGACCCCGTACCCCCCCCCAACCCGAAATTCGGGTCAAATTCGGGTCTTCGGGTTGGGTTGGTGTGGTCTGGTAGGTAGGCAATCAGGCGACCAGAAGTCCCCACACCTGTTTTCTCACTGAAGCAGTAAGACCCACAGAATTCGGGGTCGACTTTAAGAGGGGGGTGATGACTAGGGAGGGGGTGGATCTCATGTCGGGGGCCACGGTGTCTCCCCAGGTATCATGGCGCCTCCTCTGGTTTCGATACTTCCCCGGCCCCCCCCCCGCCCTGGACCGCGCACACGCCGCCGGCCATGCTTTGCGCCCCCCCCGTCTTGGGCGCCCCCATCTTGGCCGCTCCCGGCCCGTGCAAGCACGTGTCTCTTGGAGGTGGCCCGTCGCGATCCAGTCCCAGACGTGGGGATCCTGTGCCGCGCCCCCTGCAAGGCTCATCGATCTGCTGGGGCCCTGGCGCCCGAGCCGGGACGACATCAAGCGAAGTCCGATGGTGATCTTGGCGCGAACGCCAACAATGCGACGCGGCTCAGAGCGTGAATTACCTACCCCGCTTTCGCTTCCAGGCAGAACCAAGTCATACCACGCGCCTCCTCGTCAAGCGGCCTGACCAGTACAGGCCGTCGTTTGGCATCGCTTGGTCTCTCTTGGAAGCGATGATGGTCAAAAGCGAGGTAGGTCTGTTTGCCCCCTACCAGCGACGAACTGCTCTCGGAGGGGCCAGAGGGCTCTTGGGGACCTCTTGGGTGCCTCCTGGGGAACTTTTGAAAACCTCCTGGGGGCTTCTGGGGGGCTCTTATCCGTTGCGGCATTTCCCGAGCCGGACAGGCCCGTCGGCGCCCGAGGGCCCAAGGTCGGGTGAGGGAGCGCCCGGTGTGAAAAACATGCGATGCCCAGATCTCAGATCGGGTGTTGCCAGAAGTGTCCCTGGCCCAGGGTGTCCCCAGGAGTTCCAAGGTCCCCATGGCCTCCGGATCGTCCCTCGCGAGGCCCAGAGAGCCCCCCCCGGAGGCTCCAGACTGGAGCGAAGACGTTGGGGCACGATGCAATTCCTGGGAGGTCAAGTTCTGACTTTGCCCTGGTCTGGAATCCGGTTGAATCCCGTGCAATCCGGCTTAATCTCGCTTACCTTGTCCGCGGCCCAATGCGGCGTAGCAGAGCGCGCCCAATGTGGCTTAACCTTCCTCAGCCTTTCTGACGAAGAACTCCTAGTACTTGCCTCTGCTAATTTCAGCAAGCTCCGATCAGAGGGATCCTCAAGGGAGCAGCTGCCAGATCCGACGACGAGCGGCAGCCTTGCTTGGAGCCTGCCCGGCCGCCCTCGGGCGGGCGCTCGGGCGCATCGGCGGCGGGGCTCCCGCGCGGAAGCCACGCGCCCGCAGGTCGACGGCCTGGTCGGTGGCGAGGCGGCCCCACGCCAAGATGAGGGAGTCAGGGGCAACGATAGGGGGGGAGAGGCATGGGGGGTGATGCATCGACCCCCAATCGCCCACTGATCGCCGATAGGGGCCCGATAGCCCCAAGCTGCCCAGGAAGGTGCGGACTCACTATCAGAGGCTCATCGCCGATCTATCGGCGATGTATCGCCGATTCCAGGTCGATGCATCCCCCCCTATGCCAGTCCACCCCTTTCGTTGCCCCCCAGGGAGTCGGCGGCGAGCGAGGAGGGGAAGTAAGAAGGAGAAGTCCCTCTCAGAAGGCGGCGGGACTTCTCAGAGGGCTTCTGGCCTTCTGAGAAGTTTCTCGGAGTCTTCGGGGAAGACTCGGAGAACCTCCCAGAAGGCCGTGGGACTTCCGAGCCTTCTGAGAATGCCCGCCCCTTCTTCCCCCCCGGGCTCGCCGCCGAGAGGGAGGGTCGTGTCGTCAAAAAGTAAAGACAAGCAGATGAGCGTTCTGCCAGTTTTCGGCCTCCAGGGGCCCCCGGCAGGCCCCTGGACCGCCAGAAAAACGGATCAGGATCAACAGCCCGCCTTAGGGACTTCCAGGATCAGGGGTCGGCATTTCCAGGGACTGCTCAAGGAGCAGCAACAAAAGGCATAACCATTCACTTTAGCGCTCCGCGCGGATCTCTTGGATCTGCGCTGGGGCCCCCTGGCGGCGCCTCCGGCGCCGACCCCTGGCACGCTCCGCGCGCCAGGAAGGGGGACCCAGCTCAGCTCCAAGACATCCGCGCGGTCCGTCGAAGGGTTGTGATTGTGCCGGTTGTTGTTCCTCGACCTGTACTGAAACCCTCAGGACTCAGCCACGCGCAGAGGGGGGTGGGGGGAGGGGGGGGGGCTTCTTAGAAGCACCCCTGCGTCTGAGAAGGCGCGGGCCTCATCTGTAGATGCAAGGCTGGCTGCCTTCTAAGAAGCAGCCTCCTTCTAAGAAGCCCTCCCCCCTCCCTCCACCCCCCTGTGCGCGCCGCCAAAGGACACCAAGGGTGCCCCTTGGGGGGCGTCGGAGAGGCCGCGGCGTCGTGCGGCGAGGGAGGGCCTCGGGTGGGAGCCGCCTCGGCCCCCTGGCGCCCACGCAGCGCCGACGGGGGGGGGACGAGCGGCGCACCCGCCCGGGAGCGCCAGAGCGCATCCCAGGAGGTATCTGTGGGAAACCCCCCTCCCCCCCCCAAAAAAAAACACAAAAAACACACACACAGTGGGAACAAAAACACACAAAAAAACACCCGAAAAAAAACACACTGTGGGAGAAACACACACACACACTCACACACACACACAAAAAAAAAACACAAAAAACACCCCCCAAAAAACTATGTGTTGTTTTTTTTTCCCACGGGGGCGAATCTTTACCCCCGAATTTCGGCACCCCTCGGGCCGTCCGCAACTTTCGGGCCGTGGGGGCCTTCCAAAGCCCCGGAGCCGTACGCGAGAACTGACTCGGGACGGCGAGAGCGCCCCGGGGAGGAGTTCCAAGACTTCCTGGGATTCCAAATTGAGAAACATCACGACGTAGGAGATCTGTGGGGGAGGGGGAGGGACTGGTGTGTCCCCCTTTGGTTCCTGTGCGTGCGGCGGCAAGGGTGCTGCAACAGTTCACGAGTACAGAGTAGTACAGGGTCCAGATGCGAGTCAGCAGTCTAGAAGTGGGTGCAATTCTCCACGCTTCCCCGCGCCGTCGCTGCCCGACGACGTGGCCCACCACCTTGGGACCTGGAGGCCGATTGTCTCCTCGGCGTTCGCTTGACGCGTCTTCCGCGTTCATTACGCCCGTCTCTCGGGGTCGTTCACGCTGCTCCCATGTGCACCTGCTCGCGTCTCCACGTCCGTGAAGGTCATTTGGTTTCAAGGACGTCGAGTTCGACAGCCTTTCCTGGAGAGTGTGTTTCTGGACGTAGTTCCTCTTCCGCTTCGGCTGCCGCACGTCGTTGGGTCTGCGTGACTGCTCGTTGGACATATTCCTCGGCAAGTTGCTGCTGGTGGGGTGGCGCCGCTGGCTATCATGTGGGTGGTCGCTCCTGCACCCTACACCGGCTTCAGTTGGGCAGTCTCGTAATTAGACGAGTTCTCGGTCCCGGTTTGTGACGCCTCGCGCGCCATTTTGGCTGCGCCTTGCCCGTTCTGCCCAGGGTTCGTTCGCGCTGCGCCTTCGGATGCGCCTGCTCGCCTCTCCAGGTCTGTGGAAGGTAGCAGGTTGCAAGGACGCCGAGATCGACAAGCTTACCTGGCGAGCATGTTCACGGACGCCTTTCCTCTCGCCGCGTTGTCCGCATGTCTGCTGGGTCCGTGTGGCTGCTCCCCAGAACCCTCCTCGGCAAGTTGCGTCCTGGGGTTGTCGTGCTGCTGCTTTACGTTGTTCGTGGTCGCTCGCCCTTCTACACCGGCGTCCCATGTGCTCCTTCGTAGACAAGCTCTTGGTGCCTACTTGTGACGCCTCCCGCGCCATTTTGGTTGCGTCGTGCCTTGTTCCGCTCTGTGACGGGCGCCATCCACTTCGCTGTTGTTCCTTAGCTTCGGTGCGGCCCGCCCTAGCTTGCTATGCGTTCGGCTTGTCTTCGCGCGCCCGCGTACCAAGCTCGACTGTTTGTTTTGATCTGAGCAATAGCAGAGATGCCAGCAGGATAGTGAGCATTACGAAGAGCAACACGAGGAAGTGGAGGTGGGAAACGAAGGATAAAAGGTACAGGTGGGATGTGAAGGAACAGGAACATAGTATTGAGCAGGACGATAGCAAACATTTTGATCAGACGCGACCGATGGTTTCCAGAGGTCCCGCGGGGGCCTCCGCAGGCCAGACATAATTGTTCACAGCACGCTCAAATTCGAACTCCGAGGCTCGAGGAGGACGAGGAGGACATGGACGAGGAGGGCGAGGAGGTGGTCGTGGAGAACGGGCAGCAGATGAACGAGGAGGAAGGCGGAGGACTCAGACGAGGGATCTCATGTTGTATCGGCAACGCCGCTCGCCGTTGTCCCCCTTCCCTTGTTCTCCTGCCCGTACTTTTCTCCACTGTAATTGCCGCTGCGTTCCGCATGTCCGCTGCGGCGGTCTATGCCTGCGGATCGTGCCCCCGTATGGAGGTCCACATACAGCCACAGGCATCAAGGTGGCAAGCGTCCCCCCTCCTATTTCGGGATACCGAGGATTGTGCCCGACAGGAAGCTCTACCGACCTGTTGCCCCAGTGGTGCCCGAGGGCGTGCAGGCCTACATCCCGCGCGGATCAGATCCCGCAGGAAATGTCCATTTAACTACGGCCCCAAAGGGCAACTTCGCGTGCGATCCCCCCGCCCATGTCGGCATGCCCCTATCACGCGGATCGTGCATTACAGGGAGCCCCGCTTACGGCTTCAGTGGGCAAGGCCGCGCGCGATCTCCCCAGCCCACGCCGGCACTCTCATCACACAGATCGTGCCCCACAGGGGCTCCGTCAGCGGCGCCAAAAAGTTCGCATGCGGCTCCCCCGCCCATGTCGGCACGTACCGATAAAGCGACGCGAAGATCGGGACAAAATCGGATCGGGATAACTCGAAATCTCTGAGGGTCGGCGGGTTTGGAGGATGTATTGGGCGCCGCGGCCGCTCCAGAGCGTTCCGTAACGCTCTGAGAGCGCTCCGGAAAGCTCTGGAGTGATTTATCCCGATCCTAGCCTTGTTTTAACCGAACACGATTCGTGTTCCCAGTTGGCAAATCTACACGTGGTCCCCCCCCGCACAATTCGGCTCACCCTTCGCGGGGGAGTCCGGACGGCACATGTAAGCAAGTTCGTGTGCGGTCTTTTGGCCCTCACATGCCCCCATACGGGAGGCTCCACACACGGCTCCAGTCCAGTGGGCAAGTTCGCTCGCGGTCGACCCGCCTATTTCGGCACCCCTCACGCGCATCGTGCCCCACATGGAGTTCCACCAACGGCTTCAGTAGGCCTGTTGGACGCCTGGGACGGGGGGGGGGGGGGCTTTTGTGGGTATCTAGGGGATTTCTGGACCCATCTCAGCAGAAGGGACCTGAGATTGCTCGCGTGTCCTCCCTCGAGGCCGAGAACCCCCAGAGTCGCGCGAAAACCCATACGACATCCGCGAGTTGGGGGCATGGGCCCTAGCTCAACGCAGAGAGTTCGAAGGGACCTGAGGACCTTCCGCTATGCTCCTGCGGCACGGTGGCAAATATATTGTAGATACTACGGCAAGAAAGAGTGCTGCCAGAACTGTTGGGACGCGTTCTCATTGGACCTTTGAGGGGCCTGAAGTGTCCAGAGCTTATGTGGGTCCCTGGGGCCATCGGGGGAATTACACATGTTCGTAGGCACCTGCTGACAGGCCGATTCCTTCTGTGTTGTGAGTTCTGGAACTCTCGACCTCTTGAGCTTCCTCTGTCCGATGTGATCCTCGTCCTCCCGCTCCCTCAGGAGAAGGGCGCTGGAGCCGAGGATGCATATATATATATATATATATATATATATATATATATATATATATACATATAACGGCGCACCGGGTCCGGGGGCCCGGGGCCGGGACCTCGACCACAAATGTGCACCCCGGGGGGCCCGGAGGCTCGTCGGGGCTTGCCGGAGGCCTCCCCAGTCAGACAAGACGGCCCAAGAAGCGCCCAAGACGGCCCAAGAAACTTCCAAGAGGCCTCCAAGAGGGCTCCGAGATGCTGAAGATGGCCTCCAGACGTCCAAGGACGCCCCCAAGAGGCCCCAAGAAGCCTCCAACATGCGTCCCAAGAGGGCCCCTAGACGCAAAAATTGGCCCATTCCCTTCGTAAAACGTACATTTTCAACAAAGTTGTCTTTTGGGCTTTCCGACGTTACAGGACGGCCCAAGAGGCGCCCAAGACCGCCCCAAGACGGCCCAAGAAGCTTCCAAGAGGGCCCCAGGACAGCCCAAGAGGGCCCCAAGACGGCCCAAGAGGCGCCCAAGATGGCCCAAGAGGGCCCCAAGACGGGCCCAAGAGGGGGCCCAGAGGGGGACCACGAACCGCAAGCTCGAGCCTTCCGCCCCAAGAGGCCGCCAGGAGGCCCCCAGGAGGCCCCTCAAGAGGCCCCAGGAGACCCCAGACGTCCAAGGACGCCCCCAAGAGGCTCCAAGAAGCCTCCAACATGCGTCCCAAGAGGGCCCCTAGACGCAAGAATTGGCCCATTCCCTTCGTAAAACGTACATTTTTAACAAAGTCGCCTTTTGGGCTTTCCGACGTTACAGGACGGCCCAAGAGGCGCCCAAGACCGCCCCAAGACGGGGGCCCAGAGGGGGACCACGAACCGCAAGCTCGAGCCTTCCGCCCCAAGAGGCCGCCAGGAGGCCCCCAGGAGGCCCCTCAAGAGGCCCCAGGAGACCCCAGACGTCCAAGGACGCCCCCAAGAGCCCCAAGAAGCCTCCAACATGCGTCCCAAGAGGGCCCCTAGACGCAGCCCAAGAGAGGCCCAAGAAGCAAAAATCGTGCCATTCCTATGGGAAAACGTATATTTTTCGCATGTTCGCCTCTTGGGCTTTCGCCGCGTCCAAGACGGCCCAAGAGGCGCCCAAGACCGCCCCAAGACGGCCCAAGAAGCTTCCAAGAGGGCCCCAGGACAGCCCAAGAGGGCCCCAAGACGGCCCAAGAGGCGCCCAAGATGGCCCAAGAGGGCCCCAAGACGGGCCCAAGAGGGGCCCAGAGGGGGACCACGAACCGCAAGCTCGAGCCTTCCGCCCCAAGAGGCCGCCAGGAGGCCCCCAGGAGGCCCCTCAAGAGGCCCCAGGAGACCTCCAAGAGGCCCAAAGGAGGCCCCGAGAAGCCCTAAATCGGCCCCCAAAATGCTTCGAACCTGCTGCCAGGAGGCCCCCGACAGGTTCAGAGGCTCCCGAGAAGCTACGTCAAACTCCCAGCGAGCGGCCGGACGAGGCCCCCCACAAAATCACAAGAGGGCTCCAGTATTTGTATCCTTCAGCGCTCTCTGGCCATCTTCCCCCTGCCCCCTTCCCTGCGACTTTCGTTGACTCAAGCTCGCCTCCTAGCTAGAACCTAAGCGCGCGCGAAGCGCGCGCGTGGTTCTAGTATATATATATATATATACATATACATATACACAAGTGGCTCGTGTGTGCCCAGGCTAATACAAAAAACTGAAGGGGCGTTTGAAGCAGGAGTGAAATGCAACATCGAAGTCGCACTCGAGCGCAAGTGGGGTTGCCACACCTTGCGATGTGTGTACCAGGACCCCCCAGGAAGCCTCAGGAGGCCCGACTTGGATACCAGAAGAGGCTCCAGGAGGCCCCAGGATTGTGAGTGTTGTGCGTGTGTGTGTGTGTGTGTGTGATGTATGCTTTGTGTCACAATTATTGAAATTACCATGTGGTTTTGAAGGTTTTATGTTAAAATGTTGAAATTCCCATGTGTTTTTGGACCCTGACGTCACGATCTGCGTGAGGGGTGCCACCGATTTTCAGAAGTTCGAGGATGTCCCGAGCGAAACGCCCAGAAAAATCGCGGACGCGTGCGCATTAATCGCCTCTGAGCTCTACTCCCTCGGAGAGGTGCGTATGAGAATAAACATATATATATATATATACATTTATATATATATATATACACGAAACGCTCGGAGTCCCGCGCGGATCGCTCGGATCGGCGCTGGACCCCCTTTTTACCTTCCTCGCGGAGCGGGGCCTGCACCGATCCAGGAGGTCCACGTGGAACCTCGAGTGTTCCCGCAGAGGCTCCCTCCCCGAAGGGAAGGGAGGGACGAGGAGGGAGATGAGGACGAGGAGGGAGATGAGGACGAGGAGGGAGGATGAGGACGAGGAGGGAGGATGAGGAGGGAAGTGAGGACGAGGAGGAAGAGGAGGGAGAGGAGGAAGAGGAGGCAGAGGAGGAAGAGGAGGGAGGACGAGGAGGAGGACGAGGAGGGAGATGAGGACGAGGAGGGAGGATGAGGACGGCGACGAGTGGGAGGGCGAGAGCTCGGTCGGGGAGCCGCCCCCCCCCCTCCTGCCCCCGGGGCCCCCCGCCGAGGACCCCGCTGGCGCCCCGGCGGCGTGGAGGTGACCCGAATGATATGCACCGTGCAGCTCGGGGGGGGCGCAGGACGCCCTGGAGGAGGGCGAGGAGGACGAGGAGTGGAAGCAGGCGGGCGCGGAGGGCGGCGCGCGGAAGGGAGGCGGCCAGGGGGGAGGAGGAGGAGGAGGTGGGGGAGGAGGGGGAGAACGCGATAAGCGCAGTCGTATGTTTGGCCAACCTCCAAGAGGAGGAGAGGAGGAGGCGGAGGAGGAGGCGGGAGGAGGAAGCGGGAGGAGGAGGAGGCGGAGGAGGAGGAGGAGGAGGAGGAGGAGGAGGAGGAGGAGGAGGAGGAGGAGGAGGAGAGGAGGAGAAGGAGGAGGGAGGCGGAAGGAGAGGAGGAAGGAGGAGGAAGGAGAAGACCGAGGAGGGAGGCGGAAGGAGAGGAGGGAGGGAAGGAAGCTCCGCCCCACCGCGCTGTGAGCCCCCCGCCGTCTCATGGAGGGGCCGCCGTCTCACGGGCGCCCGCCTCGTTTCATGGGGCGCCCCGCCCGGGCGCCCACACCCCGGCAGCCGCCTCCACGGAGGGGCCGCGCCGCGGCGGCGGGGCGCCCGCCGCCCCCCGGCGCGCGCGCCTCTCGGGCGCCCTTCGGCCGACGTTTCACGGGGCCTGCAGCTGCGCCAGCATCGCGGGAGGGCGACAGGAGCCCAGCGCGGGCATCCCGAAGCGGCTTGCAGTCGCGGTCGGTTCGCGTCGTGTCGACGTCGCGGCGACCCCGCCGCGAACGTTCAGGGTGGAACGTCGCGAGGGGCCCAGAATCGGCCCACTTGGAGCGATCGGGCGATCGAAAAGCCGCCGGTCGTTCAAGGTTGAACGATCCACGCGGTGTCTGAAACCAACGCCCGGGTCGTCACGACACGAACCTGCCGTATGGGTTCCCAATTGTCCCAGTTGTTGCCTAGGGAACCAGGCCTGAACTTCGGCCTGGTGGCTATGTACGTTGCCGCCGTCGCCGTACCGTCGCCGCCGTGTCGCTGCCCGTCGTCTCCCCGTCGCCGCCCATGCCGTCGCCGCCTAGATTGCACCACGCGTATTGCACCGCTTCGATTGAACCACGATGTTACAACATCCGTAGACGGGCTAACTGCGATGTAAGTTACGGCGATGTAGGTTTCGGTTTTGTGGGAACGCGTGGCTTGCGCGTTCCTACAATTCGCTGTGTCGTGGTCGCTCAATCCGTTCGCATATGGGAAATTCAGGAAAATGTGGCTCGCTGTTTCCTACACTTTGGTTCCGAACATCACCGTTAAGCAAAATCGCCTTCAGCCTGGCCTCGGAAAGAGGTTCAGTCTCAGAGCGCGTTCCTGTACTCGCAAAATCCGTACTCGCAAGCGCTCGCCCCGACGCAATGGATCGTGGATCCCCCGCGGCGGATCCAGGCCACTTGCAAGTAATCACTTTGCGAGCAGTGCAACGTGCTCGTCTGCTCAGGGGGAGGGGGAAGAGGTGCCCGTGCCGCAGCCCGTCCCCCCGCTGTCCGTTCTCGACTCAAGCCTCCCGGGAGGCCCGCGCCACCACCGCTGGAGTCGCCCCGAAACCAACCGGAGAGGTCCAAGGGGCAGCGGTATGGGTGCCTTTTAGCCTTTGTAGTCCCGTTAGGTCGGGCATGTCCTCTCACAGGCTCAATGTGGCAGAACAACACTGGACAAACAACTTTGTGCATGTTAATATGAGCCCGACACATCGTCACAACAGTAAGCTCTATTATCCTTGAGTGTTCCTCCTGTAGAGGGACATGCCCGACTTACCAGTATCGGGGTCACGCCACCATTGGGGCGCCCGCCAGCGCGTTGCCCCTCCGTTATTGACCGAAGGCCCGGCGCGTCTTCGGCAGGAGCACGTGGATGGCTTCTCCACGGTGGTGTGCCTCCCCGAGGGCTTTCACGTCTTTTCTTAAAAACGGTACCCATACCGCTACCCTCGCCTCATTTTCTTCTTTTTGAGCCTCCTGTGAGGCCCTCGTCGCCACCGCTGCATTCGCCTCGAAATTCTGGTCAGAACGCACCCCGGGAGAGGTTCGGGTGTTAGTGGTATCGGTGCCGATTGGTCTCCCCATGAGCCCATCGTAAATCAAGATGCATCTGAATGCGCCGGGGAGAATCCAGAGGTCTCTGAGGAAGCTTGGAGCAGATCGTGGACTCTCCATCGCGAGCCGAGGTACGGCAGAAGTCGCTACGGTCGGCCCGGATTAGCAGGTCGACCCTGCCAAATGAAGGGTACCTTTGTGTCCTGTGTCTCGCGACCCGTGCCTCCTGAATTCCTATGGCAATGTGGCCCTCGGAATGGTATTTTGTCCTCTCGCGTGTCCTGTCCAATCAAGTCCGACCGTAAGCCCTTCACGCGTGTCATTGATACTCCTTTTGCTCACCCGGCGTCCGGCATGATGCTTCGCACCGTCGTTTCATTCGCGCGCTCTCCGGGCGCCCTGGCCGACGTTTCATTTGATGGGGGCCCGCTCCGCGCCAGACGGCGGGCGTGCCCGCAGGTGCGCGTGCCCGCGCACCCCCCTCCCGCCTCCCCCGGCCGGCGGTGCTTGTGCCGCGGCCTGGGCCCCCTTTGCCGGGGGTTGCTAAAGTTCCCCCTGGCCCAAGGTACCCCTGGCTTTTCGCCCTGTTTGGGGGCCCCTGGGGCCCTCTGGGCCTCGTGAGGGGTGCGCTGGAGGCCGTGGGGGCCTCCCCGAAGATCCTGGGGGCACTTTTGGCCAGGGGCACTTCTCGCAACACCCGACCTCGTCTTGGAAGGAGAGAACACGGCATAACCACTTCTTGCGTCGGCGGCTAGGCAGAGGGACTGCGCTGGCGACTAAAGCAAGACGGGGCGCGCTATGCGAATTCAGGCACCATGCAGAGGGAGGGAGGAGAACGATAAGGCGCCGGCCCCCCAAAAACGGCATAAACACGCTCCGCGCGGATGTCTTGGATCTGCGCTGGACCCCTCTCCCTGGCGCGCCTACCGGCCATCTACGCGGCCCCCATTTGGGAAGCCTCTATTGTAGATCTTCGAATTTTAGTTTTTAGAGTGCGTGAGCGTACGCTTGCGCCTGGTAGTCGATGAGAAAGCGCCGGGTCATCGTCGATTGGTGTCGATTAGCGTCGTTTAGCGTCGGTCAACGTCGATCGGCAAGAGCCATCAAGATGACATACGAGCCTCCCATGAGTTGCCACATGATCTCCCTTCCCTCCAGGTGGAGCTTGCGCCACCAATAGAGTGGACCCCGTGGCGATACTAGGCTTTCTTGCAGAGGGGGGAAGGGGCGCCCAACGTCACGATTCGCGCTGGCACCACCTGGAAATGCTTCGGAATGGCTACCCGTCGGTCGTTGAAAGTAGGATTTTTCGGATTCCCAGATTCCAATCTTCTTTGAGTGCCTTCCTACTTCAATGATCGATTGGCTTCACCTTCACCGTTCTCTTCAGGAGGCGGGCGGACACCCAATCTACTTTCAACGCCTTCCTACTTCATGATTGTACGTACTTACTTCTTCCGACCGATGGCTAATTTTTGAACAGCGCTTGCGTGAATCGTCACGTTGCAGGGTTTTGGGGAGGGGGGCTGGGGGGGCAGGGCCGGTGACGGCCATTCTCGCGAATGTACTTCGAAATGGGCCTTATATTTCGCTGTAAATATACGATGGCACATCCTGCTCACCATTTGGGGCTTAGGCTGGCAGATATGATCATGCTGTTGCTGTTGCTTCTACTCTTGCCTCCGCTCCTACTCAGCTGGCGTCTGCCATCTCCTCGTCCTTTTCTTCGTCGACCCGTCCTCATCGGGTATTCGTCTTCACGTTGTTGTTTCTTCATTCCCGGATAACTACTCATGCTCCTCATGTTGCTCTTTCCTCCGATGCCCCCCTCTTGTCATCATGCACTGGGACCTCTTCATGACGACCCCTCCATTTATTGGCTTTGTATCGAATTGCTTTACCAAGCGCGAGAAGGTCCCCCCGCGGCTGGGGAAGGGAGAGGAAAGCAGCAAGGGAGGGGAGAAGCAGCAGCAGCAGCAGCGCAAGTACCGTTCGCCTTCCTCCTGGCCGTCCCGCGGGGAGGAGGCAGTAAAAGACAAGACAACACGATGACAGGGCACCTGGGAGGAGGTCCCGGGAGGATCCGGCGCCCCGCAGGCTCGGAACGAGCTGCCCCGTGCCCCGCCCCGCTGCGATATCCGCGCCCCCCTCCAGGCTGGCCCTGGGCGGGGCGCGGCTCCCTCCCAGCCTGCAGCCGGGAGCGCACCTCCGGCCACCGCCGCCCCCAGGAGCGGATGCCCCTCTCGAAGCGCTGCACCCTGCCGCCACCGGTCCGCCTCCTCGTTCGCGTGATGCCCCGGCCGCTTGTCCAGAGCCTGCCGCCACCTCTGGCGCCGCACGCACTCCAGGACCCGGCCGCCGTTCCCCTCGCGCCCTCGCTGAGCCAGCACCACCGCTGCTCCGCGCCCTCGAGGGCTCGCCCGAGATTGCACCGCACTGGCTGCACCACCTAGATTGCGCCGCAGAGATTGCAATAACTCGCTGCTTTGTGTCCACGCTTCCTGACATGTTCCTGAGCTTCCGGCTGTTTCCGATGTCCAGGGTGGCCTCCATCGGCCGCGCCTCGACGAGAGCTGTCCAGGGAGGGGTGCCCGCACCGTCCCACAGCCAGCCGCTGGTGGCCCGAGTCCTGACCGGAAGGCCACCAGGCGCCGAGGTTCGCCATGAAGGGATCCCTGCAAAAGCTCTGGGGCTTAGTGGGCCCTGGAAACGACAGGGCCGCTTTTTTACCGGCTCCGTTTTGCCGTTTTTCTTGCCGGTTCCGACGCCGTTGTTTACCTGTTCCGTCGCCGTTGTTTGACCAGTTCCGGCTCCAGTTCCAATTCTGGAGCCGTTGTTTTGTCGTTTCCGGTCACCGTTTTTTTGCCGTTTCCATTTTCAAGGGACAATTTTTGGAAACGGTGAAAAAACGGCCTTGCCGTTTCCGGGGCCCACAAAGTTCTGGGGTGCTGGTGGCGCCTGTGGCGCCCGTGCTGCCTGGGGTGCCTCCGCACGCCTGGTCCCGCAGCCCGTGCGCCCCCCCTCCCCTCGCACGCTTGCTCCAGCTGCCACTGCGCCGGGGGCCCATGGTACGCTCGAGCCTGTCGGGCCTTGCGTGATGGAGGGGCGACAAAGGGGGGTGGGATGAAGAAAGGTGCCTCATGATGCACTTGGTATGGTATGGAAGGCGCCCGTCTCTCCGCCCCTCCTCTACCGCCTCCCAGTGGAGCAGTGCCCGAGCCTGCGGCCACGGCGTGCCCCTCCCCCGCGCTGCCCGAGCAGGTCGCTTCGGCGCCAGCCCGCCTCGCCTCGCACGCTGCGGGCCCGCCGCCGCGTCTTCTCGAGCCTGCGGCCGCTGCCCCACCCCCCGGCGCCCCGCCGCGCGGGGGGGGTCTCCGGTCTGTGGCTGCTCCTGTCCCGCTGGGGTCCAGGCTGGGAGTTTGGCCGAGATGGCCGATTGGGCACGAGTTGGTCTGCCTCCTCCTCCTCCTCCTCCTCCGCCTCCTCCTCCCTCCTCCTCCCTCCTCCTCCTCCTCCTCCTCCTCCTCCTCCTCCTCCTCCTCCTCCTCCTCCTCCTCCTCCTCCTCCTCCTCCTCCTCCCTGGTCTTTGGCGCGGGGGGCGCTCGTCACCGCCCCGGTCGCCTCCCCTTCTGCGCCGGCTGGGCTTCCTCCCCTGGACGGATTGGCAGCGGAGTTGGGCCGTTGCCCGCGTTGCTCTGCCAACGTCCGCGAAGCGGCCTGCTCTGCGCTGGCAGCCGATGCTGTGCGTGGTCCGTTTTCAGAAAACGCGTGAACACGTTCAGGAGGAGAAAAATCACACAGACACAATTAATCGTCGATTCCCAGGAAAATATTGGAAAATATGGGCAGTGGGGGGGAAGACAGAAATCCAGAAAATATCGGAAAATATGGGGAATGTTTTTATTTGTGTGTGTTTTTTCGTGTGCCCCAGGGCCCCGTCTCACGTGCATCCCTGCATCAGACTCCAGCGGGCTCCTGCGTTGCCTCTTTTCGCAGGCAGTGCCCGCAGGCAGTGCAGCCAGCGCGCCGGAAGGAGGGGCACCTTCGGCTCAGGAGGGTCTCGGGTGTTTGGGCCGTTCCTTAGTTCTGTATCGTGGAACCTGTTTGTGGCCTAGGCCCGCCGTGGGCAGAACGTTAGCACGATGGCTGTAGTCCTAGGCCTTCCACATGGGGTCGGAGCATGATCGCGCCGCATCGCCGATGCATCGGCGATGCGGCTCGATGTGCATCGCCGATGCATCGGCGATGCGGCTTTCACGCCAGTGTCGCCAATCGATCCATTCAAATAAATCCGTAAGGAGCTTTGTGGGTTTGCGCGGGCCCCCGGCTCCCCGAGCCCCCCGGAGAGCCCGAAGGCGACTGGAGGGCCTCGAAACAGCACTGGAGCTCCCCAGAAGAGCCCCGAGACGGCCAAAAGAGGCCCCGAGGCGACCAAAGATAGCCCCGAGATGGCCCAAGACCGCCCTCAGACGGCCTACCAAGACGCCCCAGGAGGGCTCAGAGGGGACACTCTCGGTGGGCCCGAGAAGCCGAAATCGCAGATATTCCGTGGGTTTCCTGCGGATTCTGAGATTCTCGCGCTTTCAACCGTCTGGACCCCCAAGACGGCCCAAGAGGCCTCCAGGATCGCCCCGAGACGGCCCACGAGGAGCCCAAGAAAGCCGCCCCAGGACAGCCCCAGAGGGGCCCAAGGAGGGCCCAAGAGGCCCCCAAGACGGCCCAATAGACCCCCATGCCGCCCCCAAGACAGCCCAACAAGCTCCCAAGAGGCCACCAAGACAGGCCAAGAGGGCCCCGAGCCTGCCCATGAGGGCCCCAAGACGGCCCTGATGCTGTCAAGACAGCCCCAGAGGGCTTCACGCGCCCGAAAAAAGAGCCCCAGGAGGACCCCCAAGAGGGCTTGAAGAGGCGAAAATCATATATTCCACGTTGGTTGTCGATCGCACACCGCAGTTTGCTGGCACTTGCGCGCCAGAAACAGAAGCGCGCGTCGGCAAATCTGGACTCACGCAGCTCCGTGGATGGAATCCACGGGCCCACACTAGTATATTCATTATACCTTTATCTACATATGTATATACATATAGATATACATATATATGTGTATATATATATATGTGTGTGTGTGTATATATATGTATCTATTACAGACGTCGCCGATGTATCGGCGATGCATCGGCGATGCGGCGGGATCCCCCGACCCCCTGCTCTCGGACCCCATATTGGGGAGGCCTCTGGTAGTGCGAAGCCTCCAGCGGAGCGTATTTGCGCTGCCTCCCTGCACGGAGTATCGTATTGCCTCCGGTCTCCCAGCGGAGCAGTGCATCGCCTCAATCGCAGAATGTTGCATCGCCTCCCGCAGGGAGTATCGTGTTGACTCCCCCTGGGGGGTATTCCGTTGCCTCTTGCAAGGATGGTTCACCTGCCTCCCCCCCAGCGGCGAGCGGCCCCTGCAGGGACGGGGTGCGTTCCTGTCTCCCGCTGGGGAGCCTGCTCAGGATTTGACCTTGGCGGCGAGGGCCCGCCAGAAACTCCCAAAGACGACAACTCGGCGAAGGGTGTCGGTGTCGGCTTTGTTTTCTCCCCTGGCCACTTCCCTCCGCCACAGGGGGGGGGCGTTGGTAGCGCCCCCATCCGTCTGCAGAGGCGTCGATGCCCTGGGATCGGTATCGCGGACTTCGGCGGAGGAGGAAGAGGATCCACCAGTTCTTGTTCTTGGCGCCTCCCTGCTTACTGGTTGCATGTGATTGCAATGGTGAGATTGATGTCCTACTGATTGTGAGTAAGCTGTCATCATTGGCAAGCTTCTCCCTCCTGCCCTCCCCTCCCCTCCCCTCCCCTCCCACCTCCAGAGGGAGGCGTACGAAGCGCCCCCCTTTGACTCGGACGACGACATCTACCCAACGCCGATTCGGGCCAGGCCAATCCTCGGCCCAAGGTCGGCTGTATACGCCGTCACAACTAGTCCAGGACAGCGTACACATGTCGATCCTGAGCCCAGGACTGATCCTGCCAAAACCGGTGCCGGCGCACGTACCCAGAGACCCAGTGCACTTGCTTCCAGACGCGGTCCCCTGAAAGTCTCGACCCGGGCTGGACTTCTACCCCAGTCCGGTTTCCGATTGCTGCCCTGGGTGGGGTCCGTTGAGGGCCCAAAGGCTGGAAGCGCCCAGTCGTTTTGCGCACCGTCTCTGCCCGAGTGCGGCACGAGGGACGTCTCTGGGGGCCCCGCGCGGCACGCCGTAGCCGAGCCCCTTTCCCGTCCGCACGCCCACCCCCCGCACAGATGTGGAGAGGCGATCGCGCAGCGATGATCCGGCGTGTATCCGACCGCAAGAGTTGTGCGACCCAGTTCGCGCATCCGCCCCGTGGAGATACGGTCGAGGCGTTGACCTCAGGAAGCCTAAATAAGGAACGAGGCCCCTTTTTTCAGAAGTGAACATTCGACTTCCCTTCGAAAATTCGAGGACAACCTTGGGCAAGGTGTGGAACACTTAAGGAACACCGAGCCCCTCCCCAACGAAAAGGGTTCCTTCTTCAGCGCCCCGACTGTACGGTCGGAGGTTGATAGACCTCCTACCCTGACACGCCGATTAGCGAATTGGCCCTTTTCGGTTCGCGAGAGGGCGTTGCGGCCGTCATTTCTGCGGGTCGAGGAACCGTCGGTTTCGGTCCTGTGCCGTTTTCACTGAAGTGTGGTTTACTGAAGGGAGGTTTGTCCACCGCCGATACGGGGATCCGGGTGTGGTTCACTGAAGTGTGGTTTACTGATCCAGCGCGAATCTGACGTCGATTGGGTCGTCTCGCGCTGCCGCGCGAGGCCTTCCAGGACTCTTCTCATGATAGCACGTGGGGAGCCTGGGTGGTGGTCGTCGTCCCAGTTTGGAGGAAGGAACAACTGTACAAGCAAAAACTTTCAGAGCTCTGCGCGGATTTCTGGGATCGGCGCTGGACCCCGAAATCCGCACGGACCTCCGAGCGTTTTCGCGCAGGCAGTTTTTGTCATCCTCCGAGTCGTGCAGGGCGTGCTGATGCCCACGGGACCGATATCGCTGTAAATTTGTTCTCGCGCGCGCGCAGTAGTTTTGAGACTGGCGGACCGCGCGAGCCCCCGCGGACAGGGTGCACCCGCGGCGGCGGCTCTCTTGCAAAGAGCGGGACGCCCCCCCCCTCGCCGGCGAGCTCAAGCGGGGGGCGCGAGGGGGGGACCTGCTAAGAGGCCTGGCGTTGAGTCGGGCCTGTCCCCCAACAGGCCGCTTTTAGACTAAAAATTGAAAGTGCCCCAAGAATACCCTAAAAATGCAAAAAAAAAAAAAAAAAATGGCCCCAGACTGTTGTTTTACTATTTTGGGATATCCCCCCTGGAGAGGGACAGGCCCGACTTAGCCCTGGCGGCCTTCGGAGAAGGCCGGGGGGCTTCTCAGAGGGCCTCCCGGCCTCGACGGGGCCGTCTCGGGGCGGGCGGGCGTCGCGCAATGGGGGGGGCGCGATACATGGGGGGGCAGCGAACGCTGCAGGAAAGGGGCAGCGAATGGGGGGGCGATACATGGGGGGGGAGCGAATGGGGGGGCGATACATGGGGGGGCAGCGAATGGGGGGGCGAGACATGGGGGGGGCGATAAATGGGGGACCCTGAATCGGGACGACCGACATGGGTACGGAAAGAATGTGTACAATGCCCAACAGCAGTTCCTGTCCATTTTGAGCAGGACTCGCTGTCCGCGCCGCCGCGACCTCTGTCCATTTGAGACAGAAGGCCGCCTGCCCAACAGCGGCCGCTCTTGGTTTGGGGCGACATGTGTTGTTGGGCAATCGTGCCCATCTTTGTCCGTACCCATTCCGGGCGTCCAGACTGAAGGGGCACTTCGGGGCCTAGAAGGGGGCCTGTGGGGCCTGAAAATACACCTCCCCCTCCTCTCCCTCCTCCTCCTCCTCCTCCTCCTCCTCCTCCTCCTCCTCCTCCTCCTCCTCCTCCTCCTCCTCCTCCTCCTCCTCCTCCTCCTCCTCCTCCCCCTCCCCCGCATTTAGCGCCCCTCCAATGTAAGCGCCGCCCAATGGGGAGCTCTGGGACCCTTCCGAGACGGCCCGCGAGCTCGTAGAAGCTCCCCTCCCCCCCGCTCAGGAGGCGCGCCCTCCCCGCGCCGCCCCCGTGTGCTCGCCGCCCAGGTGGAGGCGAGCCACGTCGGGGCAGCGGAGGCGCTCCCCTGCACCCTAGGCGATGCTTAAGAAAACCTAAGTTTTCGTCCAGAGTCTCGATTATTCTTGACTTTTCAATGTAAATCCCAAGATTTTGATAGAAGTTCTGGGTTTTATTCAATTTCTGAGACTATGAATTTCTTAACCCATGATTTCTTAAGCATTTCGCAGGGTGTGGTGTTTGTTCGTCCTCCCCGGAGCCTTTTGGGGCTCACACGTTAGTCGCTGTAAGTCCCAATGTTCTTTCCATGCACATCCCTCCGTCAAGAGTCGATATACTGTCTCTGTGGTTTCTTCTTCTCCCGGAGGGCCTGGATCCAATCTACTTGATCCGCCTTCCTACTGCATGCTTTCGCTTCCTTCTTCCGACCGACGTGTACCGTTGCCACGGCTGGATCCGCCTCGAAGAACGGGTCAGGACGGACCCCGGGAGGGGCCAGGAGGGGGGAGTAAAACGACGCGAAGATCGGGACAACATCTGATCGGGATAACTCGAAATCTCTGAGAATCGGCGGGTTTGGAGGATGTATTGGGCGCCGCGGCCGCTCCAGAGCGTTCCGGAACGCTCTGAGAGCGCTCCGGAACGCTCTGGAGCGATTTATCCCGATCATAGCCATGTTTTGAGGGAGAGCCGCCGCTGTCCCAGCTGGCCACTCCCCTGCTCCCCCCCCCTCCTCCCGAGAGGGGGGAGCGTCGAGCCCGAGCGGTCGAGGATCGGCCGTCGACCAGGCAGGGACGCAGGACATGCACGACGCCGCCGTCGGGGGCCATCCGCGTTTTTTTGTTATTTTTAAAAATGTATTTTTGGGGGGGGGTCCTCCCTATGTCCGAGGAACAAGGTGTTTCGTCAACAGCGTCACAAGGGTGAGTTCCCCGCGGCGGCGTGCCATGGATGCCCTTTGGTGCTCCTCCCTGCTCGTCCTCTGCGGGCCTCCTGGCGGCTCTTCGTCGCCATGGCCGCATCCGCCTCGAGAGATGGTCGGGACGCACCCTGACAGGGGCCTGGGGGTTCGATGTGGAGCGGAGGGCCCCGGCTGTCTCAACTTGACCCTCCTCCGCTCCCTCCTCTCGAAGGGGAGGTTAGCATGCAGCTCTTGGGACGCTACATTCAGCACTGGCGCTGGTATGTCCGTGGTCGAACATCGAAAACCACCCAGACCAGGCATAAGCGCCTTGAGTCTCGATGAATCCCGCTGAGCTCGGCCTGATCCTTGGTCATTTCGGGTTGGAGTTGGGCTAAGTAGGCTTACTGGCCGCTTGATCAGGCCTAATTCGCCCCTAATCTTAAGTCGGGCCTGTCCCCCTACAGGGGGACTTTCGACGAAAAGTCAAAAATACCCCCAACATATCCCCAAAGGTCAAAAGATATTCATAACGTAGTCCCCAGACTATTTTTTGATTATGTTTGAGGTATGTTTGGGGTATCTTTTATTTTTCGTCGAAGATCCCCCTGTAGGGGGACAGGCCCGACTTACGCTTACTGGCCCTGGATCAGGCCTAGTTCGCCCCTGGTCGTTCTTGCGAAAGTCTTCCTGCAGTTGCCCCCTCAGGGAGGGTCGGTTTCGGCGATCGAGGACGCGCCTTCCAGGCGAGAAACGATGCTCTTTGGGGCGCGCGGGGGGCGCGTGTCGCCCCCTTCCTGCTACAGCCTGTTTTTGTTTAGACTCTGGCAAGTTTACTTGCATGGACGGGGGGGGGGGGGGCTGAGCCTGAAGCAAGCCCGGGGGGGGGGGCGCGGAAATCACGCAAGTCGAAAGGCATTTGCACGCTAGTATTCGCTTGAAGAGGGGCGAAGGGGGGGGGGGGGGGCGGACGCCATGCAAGTAAACTTGCCCGAATCCAAAAAACAGGCTCCTAGTGGGCCCCATGGATGGCCACGGCTGGATTCTGCCCCGATGCTTTCGGCCTGGGCTGCTGTTCGGGCGCGCACCAGGACAGGTCGGGGGAGAGGGGGGGATTTCTGGACCCGCTCCTGGCGGGGACGCTGGGGACCTCGGCGAGGCGGCGAGGATCTAGGTTCGAGGGTGTGGCTTCTTGCTCTTTGTACGTCCTGTCCCGGAGTAAGCCGACTGTCTCTCTCTCTCTCTCTCTCTCTCTCCCCCCCTACTGTCGTCCGCTCCCTCCTCCACCTTGGGTCCCCGTGACTTCCAGTTCCTGCACCAACAAACAACGTGTACCTCCTTGGGCAGAGGCTGGCGCGCGGCTCCTGGCGTGCTCGCTTGGTCCTCCTTGAGGCTCCTCGTCGCCACGGCTGCGCGTTCCCCGGCATCGCTTTTGCCCGGCCGCATCGGGAGCCCTGAGACGGGGGTCAATGCAAACGGGGGTCAGCCACGGCCGGATCCTGCAGGATCCTGCGAACACCCCCTCTGGCTGACCTGGGTTAGCGAGCCGCTCGTGGCCGCGAGGCGGCCGCACATCTTGGCTGGCCTGGGTTTGAGTTTGCGAAGACCTGCGTTGCAGTTGCTCTGTTCCTGCGTTGCAGTGTTTGGTTTCCTGCTGACCCGGGTCTGGATTGACCCGGGTCAGAATCAGGAGGGGAAAAAACACACACAGACACAATTAATCGTCGAGTCCAAAGAAAATATAGGAAAATATGGGAATTGGACGGGAAGACAAAAACCCCAAAAATATATGAAAATATGGGGAATCTCTTTATTTGTGTGTATTTATTTGTGTGTCCCAGGGCCCCTTCACAGGAGATCCCCGACCGCAGTGGTGGCCCTCGGCGGGGCCGCCGGGGCGGATGGGGGAGCAACGAGGGCGGGGGCCTGCGCGCGGGAGGGGGCCGACCCGCGAGGCGGGGGCACGGCCCACGGGCGGAGGAGGATCGGTCTGGCCTCGGGAGTGCGAGCCCGGCGGGGTCGGTCGCGCGGTCTTCATTCGGGAAGGAAAAAACACACAGACACAATTATAATCGTCGGGTCTCAGGAGAAGATGGGAAAACATGGGAAGTGGGGGGGAAGACAAGCCGAGAGCATGGGAGCATATGGGGCATATTTTTTTTGCGTGTATTTCTTTGTGTGTCCTGGGGCCCCTTCATTCATGTAATGCACGGGCGATTCTGGCCTCGGGGTTCTGTCGCAGGCCTGGAGGTCGACACCAGCACAACTCTCGGCGTTGGGCCTCCACCGACGGACGGAGATCCCGATCTCAGCGATGGTGGTAATGCTCTGGCTTCGAGGGCGACCGAACTATTACCACCAACGCCGAACTCGAGGCTCATCTTTTCGGGCTGGACGAAAGGGGGGGATTGGGAAAGGGGGGTTACGAAATCTGCTGCATGCAGCTGGTTTCGGCCCCGCCGAGGGGCCCATCCCTCGACACATGGCCGCCTCCGGCGCCGGGAGGCGCCGGGAAAATCAGCTACGCGAGGTGATTCTCAAACCCCCCCTTTGCTATCCCCCCCTTTCGCCCGACCCGAAAGGAGGAGAAGGATGGAGTATGCGCGAGAGGAGACCGACTGGCGAGGCGGGGTCACGGTCCACGGGAGGAGGGAGCGGGGAGAATGGGGGGCGGAGGGGCGAGTGGGGCCGAAGGGGGGGCGAGGGGGACCAGCATGGAGCAGGGAGTGGGACGAGGAGAGGCGATGGGAGGCGTGCAGGAAAAAAAGGACCAGGCAGGGAGGAAGTGGAGGCATCATCAGGGAGCAGTGAGGAGGGAACGCTGAGGAGGAGGGAGGACGGGCGATCACGATCTAATCAGGGAGGACAAGGAAGGAGGAACGGGGAGCCGCAGCAGGGACGAGGAGGAGGAGGAGGATCGGGGAGGATGGAGGCAGAGGAGGATGTGAGGACGAGGACGACGACGGCGCCCCTGCCGTCGCCTCCCTTTCCCCTGGTCCTCCCTCCTCGGTCGTCCTCCTCCCCCCCTCCTCCCCCGAGCAGGGGCGTCGCCCGGTTCCCTCGGGGCACCCCTGGGGGCCGCCTGTCTGCACGAACGAAATCTGCACGGAAAGATTGAGTACAATGCCCAACAGCAGCTCCTTGTCATTTTAAACAGGACTCGCTGTCCGCGCCGCCGCGGCCTGTGTCCATTTGAGACAGAAGGCCGCCTGCCCAACAGCGGCCGCTGCTGGTTTGGGACAACTTTTGCTGTTGGGCATTGTGCCCATTTTCTCCGTACCCATTTCGGGCGTCCAAACCCTGGAGCAGCAGAGTATAAAAAAAACTAAGTCCCTCCCCGCCCAGGCTCCTCGGGGGCGACTGAGCGGGAGGGCTGCGGGGCCCGTACGTGCAGACGGGCGCATGCACTGAGAGCGCGGGCCGCTGACCCCAGCTGCGTGGGCCCACGCGCCCTTCGGGATGGCGGCGGCCACGCCCAGGCGGTCACAGCCCCGCCAGGCATCATCTGATTCTTAGGCTTACGCCACACCGCCGACCCCTTTTTTTTTCTGGGGGGCTTCGTGGGGGTCCCTGGAGCACGTTGGGGGCGTCTTGGAGCCGAAGGTTCGAAGTGTCCGTTCCGGTTTGGGAGCCTATGGGGCCGTCTTAGGGCGGTCTTGAAGGCATCTTGGAGTGTCTTTCGGCCTGTGAAGGCCGAACCATAGAATATCGAAGCCGATTTGGGGGCCTCTTGGGGCCCCTTGGGGCCCCTAGGAGGCCTCTGGGGAGCCTCTTGGGGCCTCGCGGGGGCCTTTTGGGGGGCGTCTGGATGCTTTTTTGGAGCCTCTTGTGGCCTCCTGGGGGCCTCTAGGGGCGGACGGCTGGAATGTTCGTTTCGTGGTCCCCCTTTCGGGCCCCTCTTGGGGCCGTCTTGGAGCTCTTTTGGGGTCGTTTCGGGCGCCTCTTGTGCCGTGCTGGGGGCTTCTTGGGAGCCTATGGGGCCGTCTAAGGGCGGTCTTGGAGGCATTTGGGAAGGGCTTCCGCGCTGTGAAGGCGGGCAAATCGTATGTGCTAGAAATGCACGTTGTCCTAAGGGGATTTGAAGATGTTGGCCTCTTGGAGGCCTCCCGGGAGGCCTCTTGGAACGTCTTGGCGGCTTCTTGGACCGTCTTCGGCCCATGCTAGGCGTCTTGGAACG